AGAAAACACATCTAAATAAGTTGTTTTTATCTCTGTACCTGATCAATTTAATATTATTGTGAACATCGCATGCAACCATCTTGGCTACAGCATCCTCATTCGTAAACTCTCCAAACCAAAGATAGGACCATTTTAGGTATTTTTAATTACTTAATTAATTAATTGCATTAATTACTGTAGTGACTTTTAATAATGTTAAATATATTAGTTCCACATTCTTTTTTGGAAAAAAAATATTTTGCTTCACTTTTAACTGCTACATGCAACATTTTGAAGAAATCATTGCTTACAGTTTTAAATGATGAAATAGCCTTCACAACCATTTCTGATTTTATATTCTTCTTCATATATCAGATAATACATCTGCTGAAAATTGTGATACTGTGCTGGTTTTAATAGAGACACTGATACAAATTACTCATATCTACTTTGGATGCTGGAGTTAATACAGATCCTACACTGTAGGTGACATTAATATCCCACTGTCACAATTGCACAATTATTTCAACAATTGATGCCAATAAGATGTTTGGCTGGGGAGTACTCTTGATTTTTACTGTTGGTAACTTGTAAAGTACTATAAAACTGTACATGCATAAAAACTTTAAACTTATCAAATCCTTCAAATCATAAAACAAATTTAGACTGCCACATTATATACCAGGGCAGAGTTGAAATCTAAAATTTGTTATTACCGGTTCTGTGGGTGTGGCGTGGTGGGGGGGTGGGGGGGTAATGTGACTGGGTAGGCATGGCCAACTTTTTTTTTTTTTTTACTTTTAAAAGCATTTTTTCTACAACCTTAAGAGGTTGCAGAAAAAAAAGCTTTTAAAAGCTTCTGACGATCAGGCAACTCAGCTAGGATCACCAGAGATTTTTAAAGGCTTTTTTTCCCCTACAACCTCTTCGGCTGAAGAGGTTGCAGAAAAAAATGCTTTTAGAAGCCTCTGACAATCAGGCAATTCAGCTGGGATCGCCAGAGGCTTTTAAAGGCATTTTTTTCCCCCTACAACCTCTTTGGCCGAAGAGGTTGTAGAAAAAATGCTTTTAAAAGCCTCTGACAATCCCAGCTGAGCCGTACGATCATCAGAGGCTGTTTTTTTTACTTTTAAAAACATTTTTTTCAGCTGAAGAGGTTGTAGAAAAAATGCTTTTAAAAATAAAAAAACAGCCTGTGGTGACCGCGCAGCTCAGCTAGGCATGGGGGGGGGTGGCGGCGCAGGGATTTTTGCTACCGGTTCTCTGAACCACCCGCTGCCATCGCTACCAGATCGAGTGATCCGGTCCGAATCGGAAGCATTTCACCCCTGCACCAGTGGTGTCAAACTCAAGGCTGGCCCGCGGGATGCTTAGATCTGGCCCATGGGGCCACCCTGGAAACAGGGAAGGATCGGCCTGCAGTGCCTCTGCCAGCAAAACTGGAGCTCGGGAGGCCACACACGGTCCTCCCGAGCTCCATTTTCACTGGCAGAGGACTGGAGGAGGATCCTCCCAACCTCACCTGGGCCACCACCTATGCCTCCAACATGAGTGATGTTGAACTAGCCATGCTCAGCCTGGCCACGACCCCCCGAGGTCAACACAACCCTGATGCAACCTGTTATAAACCCTTGTGGAGTGATATGTCCTCCTGGATGGAAAAGATTTGACTGACTGCCATCAAGTCAGTGTCAAATCATAGAGATTAGTTTTTCCCAGGAAGGATTTATTTCCAAGTAATTAAGCATATAGAAGGATTATATAGTTATGTACAGGTAGTCCTCGACTTGCAACCATTTGTTTAGCAACTGTTTGAAGTTACAATGGCATTGAAAAAGTGACTTATGATGGGTCCTCACATTTCTAACTACAGTATTCCCATGGTCACATGACCAAAACTGGGGTGCTTGGCAACTGACATGTATTTATTACAGTGTCCTGTAATCACAAAACCACAAAATCACCATTTTAACCCTATTAAATTCAGGAACTAGATAACAGGCCTAAACTAGTCCTTTTGTCCCTTCATCCTTGGTTTAGTACTGAACCCTATTAAATTCAGGGACTAGATAACAGACCTAAATTAGTTCCTTTTAATAGTCTGTGCATTTTACATTTCTATTGGACTGAAAAAAACAGTGAATCCTCTATAATCATGATGGTGAACCTATGGCACATGTGCCAGACGTGGCACGCAGTGCCCTCTCTGATGGCATGCGAGCTGTCGTTGTAGTTCAGCTCTGCTACGCATGTGTGTGCGCCTCCTGCTGGCCAGCTGATCTTCGGGTCTCTGCCGTACATGCGTGGGGGTGGGACACATGTGGGGGGCGCACATGCATGCGCAGGGCACGTGCGTGGGGCAAGCATGCATGTGCAGGGCGCGTGTGTGGGGCAAGCATGCATGCGCAGGGGGGTGGAGCACCTGCGGGGGCCGTGTATGCATTGCATTTTGGAGGTTCGGGCACGTTCTTTGGGCACTCAGTTCAGAAAAGGTTAGCCATCACTGCTCTATAATTTGATTTTTTTTACTTAATACCAGTAGGAATAATTTATTGCACTAGTTTCAGTAGCTGTAATATGTTATCACTATTATGATGACTTTTGATGAAATAGTTTAATCAGCCATTTCACATATACGGTAATCTATTTGTTCTGGCACTTTGTTTAGTTTTCATAGTCCACGCAGTGCCAACCTCTGCTATTTTATGTGTTCATTTAATATCCTTACATTGTAATATACTTTTAGCCACAAGTAGAATGTATCTTATTAAAAATTCTGTTCACTTTTTACATTTGACAGTTCATTATAATTTCAGACATCCTTAAAATATTTAAAGGTCTTTAAAGATCTTTTTTAAAAATCCATGTCAAAAGGGCAATACAATTATTAGGTTAATTGGAGTTTATAAAATAATTTCCAACAACTATTTATCATCCGAGTACTGCCATTACAAAAAAGTGGGTATGTTCAAGCCATGTTTTATGAAAAGCATTCCCTCAAACCTTTCTAGGAATAACAAAAAAAATGATTGTTTTTCCATGTTTTTTTTTAAATATAGCTTTTTTTTAAAAAAACTGTGTCTACTGTATCTTTATATATACATATAGATTGGTAGGTAGAAAACAGAAGTGATTAACAATATTAAAATGTTAAATTAAGATGTTGCACTAAGATAAAAAACATCAAAGAAAATCAGATAATTACTGAATGGTTGGAGATTGAGAACATTATTGCTAATGGGGTAAATTTCATTCAACACAGTGGAATCTATTTCCGCTATTTTTCTTTACAATGAAACGTATATCTCAAGCAAGCTCAGTGGCTAAGACACTGAGCTTGTCCATCAGAAAGGTCGGCTGTTCGGCGGTTTGAATACCTAGTACAAGTCTCCTACGCGAGCAGGGGGTTGGACTAGATGACCTCCAAGGTCCCTTCCAACTCTGTTACTGTTACCCTGAGGTTGTAACTGTGAAAAATGGTCAGAAGCCAACTAGGCTGTCACTAAACTCAAGCATTTTTCCCTAGTGAGTTATGTCCAACTTTAGTGTTGAAAACTTCTCTTCTTGCAGGGGTGGGTTCTAACTGGCTTTACTACCGGTTTTCTTTGTGTGCGCGCTTTGCGTGCAATCGCCTCTTTTTAAAATCCAGCTTTCTGATCTTTGTTTCAGACATCCAAGAATGTCCGAGAAGTTCATGGGAACACATGGTGGTTCTTTACAACAAGGTTTCTCAACCTCTGCAGGTTTAAGAAGTTGGGAGTTGAAGTCCTTGCATCTTAAACCTGCCAAGATTGAGAAACACTGGTGTAGAGAATGCGACCACTAACACTTTTTGTAACTGTTACATACCTTCATGTTGGTAAGTGAGTGAAGAGTATCAATAAAATCCTATTAGATTACTGCAGGATAACTTGTGATTTGTTTTCATTACCAAGTGGGTTAAATGTCAGGAAAGTGTCTCATTTCTATTCATACTAGCCAGACAAGCCCATGGGAAGCAAGGTTTTCAGTATCTGTGTCTATGCCTATTATGTTATATATCTGCTCATTCCCATTTGAAGTTTTCTGTCAAATGGCAATTTACTCAAATGTTCATTTGCTGCAAATCTTAGCATTTGAGTTTAAATCTACAGTTGGGGAAACTCTTGAAATGTTGCCATAATCTAGTAACATTAAACTATAATAATTTAATGTTTAATCTACCTCAAGACTGTTTATTTGCTGCCAAGGTCTAACAGTTTAACTCTATATCAGCTGGAAGTAAAACCCCACCAAAGCCCACTGGAAATTGCTTCTGAGTACAGTGGCACAGGAATGGAATATTAAGCGGAACAGGCCTGCTCTAAGATAAAGATCAATCTCCAACCAACTTGGTGGCCCCCACCACTATTGGACTTCAACTCCTCACCAGTGGCAGATTAAGGCTCACTGGTGCCCTAGGCACTGACAAATCTTGGTGCCCCCCTCCTTTGTTTTTTTACAAATCTTCATTGGGTTTTTTTTTTTTTCTTTCTCAACTTTGTGGTGCCCCCTCTGGGCCTGGTGCCCTTAGCAGGTGCTTAGTCTGCTTAATGGTTAATACACAACTGCTCCTCACAACTCTCAGCCAGCCTGCGTAACAAGGCGTACTGGATGGAAATACCGGAATCCGAGTAAATGTTTATGGAGATTCTCAGTCATCCAGGTCATGGATGTCCCAAAGGTGCTTTTTTTCCAAGAGGCAACTGGACTTTCTGATTTTTCTTTGAAGACTCTCACTTCTCATCCAAGAAACTGAAGAAGCTTCTTGGATGAGAAGTGAAACATCTTCAAAGAAAAACCAGAAAGTCCAGTTGCCTCTTGGAAAAAAAGCACCTTTGGGACAGGGATCCGGGTACTTCCCAAGGAGATCATTAATTATCCTGGATAAAAATCAGCATCTGGCCAGCTACTTCGGACAAGCGCTCAATGAAACAATGCTTAGCAAAGAACAGCATTTAGGCCCACAGAAGCTGAGGATCCTTTCTGTACTCCATCCTTACCTTCAGGAGGTTATGCGCCACTTTGTAGCCCATCTTCCGCCCGCCTCGCACCCCCGGGGCCAGCCTACCCGTGGCGTAGCCGTGCCACGCCACGAGGTAAGGATTGTCTATGGTGAGCCAGTAGCGCACGTGGCGGCCAAAGTGCTGGAAACAGAACCGGGCGTAGTCCAAGAAAAATTCGACGAGAATCGGGTTCTCCCAGCCGCCGTAACGGTCTTGCAGGGCCTGGGGCAGGTCCCAGTGGTAGAGGGTGACTACCGGTTCGATGCCACGGTGCCGCAGGCCGGAGAGCAGGCGCGCATAGTAGCGCAAACCGGCGGGATTGGCGGGCGCCGTGCCGTTCGGTAGGAGGCGCGCCCAAGCTAGCGAGAAGCGGTAGTGGGAGACCGCCAAGGCGCTCAGGCCGTCCAGGTCGCGGTCGACGTGGTCGTAGCTGCCGCTGGCCGAGTCCCAGGAGGCCAGCTCGGGCGAGTTTCTAAAAGGCGACGCGGAGCGGTGCGTGGAGGTGTCCAGCACCGAAGGCCCTTTCCCGTCCCGGTCCCAGGCGCCTTCCACCTGATACGCCGCGGTCCCAGTTCCCCAAAGGAAACCCCGAGGGAACGTGTCGTAGAGAAAGAGCGCGTCGTCCGGGAAAGGCAGGCGGGCGAAGCGAGACCAAGTGGCCTCGCCCTGGCCTGGCTTTCCAGCTAGCGGGCGGCAAAGGAACATTATTCCCAGGACGAGGAACGGCAGCCCCGACGTCGCGGCGGGAATCATTCCGCTGGCGGGGCCACGTCCAGGAACAGATGCGGGTGAGAAGAGTCGGTGCCTGCCGGCTGCCTTCTCTCACGCCACCCGCCCCCCCCCCGCAACCCCAGTTTATTCCTTGTTTTGCCCTGCCCGCGGAGCTATTAATAATTACCTGGGACCGCGCCGGGAGTGGGGGGGTTTCTCCTCCTCCATGGAAAAGGGAGGTTAACCGAGTTGTTCCAAATCAGCAGAAGGGAGAGGGAACGAAGGAGGAGAGGGAGGAGATAGGGAAGCCACGATCCCTGCCCTCCGCACCAGGGGTGAGGATTGCTCGGAGGGCGTCTGGGGGGAAAGGAAGTCTTCAGGCGCCCCGCCGTCCTCTCATCTTTCTGGCGGTAAATTGACGGCTGGTCGCCATCCACGCTCCCACACAAGCCCACTCCCACAACGCGGAGTCAAGAACGGGAGGGAGGTGTATAGTTTGCTATTCCTCTGAAACTTCTTTGTTTTCCCCCAGTTGAACGTAGGATTCTGCCGATGATTCCCTTGATACAGTTTACCTACTCTTGCTTGGTTTGCTTAATGGAGAAAAGAATTAACACCTGGAGGAACGTTACTGTTCAGTTTGTAGGATCCTTTTTCAGACATGAGTTCAAACTTGGCAGAACATTACTCTGCCTTTATATTTAATATGAGTTTTTCCCTTGCCCTTTAAAGTCACAGCTTTGTTGATCACTTTGTCCAATTCACAACTTGTTTCAAAGTAGTAGAACAACTGGTCTTGTTAACATACACACAGAGAGAAAGATCACTCACCACAACCCAAGCAGACTCTGGGAAGTTACTCAAAGTCAAGATAAAAAGAAAGTCTACAGATAATTAAAGTGATTCATAAAAGCTAACACAACTTAATTTCATTAAACTAACCTTCTGGTTTGTGCTAAACTAACCTAAAGGTCAAATGTCTTACAACCTCACAACAGAAGCAAAGCTGAGCATTTTATTATATTTTGGTTCTGTATGGGGTTATTTTTTTGTCTCAGAGCAGATCTTAATACCAAGTATTATATTCATGCACTGTTCAAGTCCTCTGTTATGAAGATAGTGTATTTGCATATTTTGTATGCTTCCTAAGTAAGGGCCGGAGGGGGGGAAGGCTACAATGCAGCCCATGTGCCATGCATAGTTAAAGAAAGCCATAGAAAAATAATTTATTTCCAGTCTTTCCCTCCAAATTAGTATTTTGAGCTGCATTTCCTAGATGTATTGTTGGACTGACAAAGAACAGCCTCACTGAATTAAGTATTAAATCATTCTCTTGAATGCAATCAGTAATTGACGTCAGTCATAATAGTTGAACAAGAATGGCTATCTTAGATTCTAGTCCTTGAATATTTTATTTAATATATATGATTTCGATCTAAGGTTATATTTTTAAAAAGAAGGGATAGAGCTGGCAAATTACTTTCTTGAGGCTAGGCAGGTTTGTCTTGATAGAATTGCTGTTAAGTTGCTTAGTCATCAATGCTACTAGAAAAGATAGAGCTCTGATGCCATCAGCACTTGTTTATTAAATAAGCAATCGGGCATAAAATACACAGTTCCAGGGACAAAAAGTCAGTTCCAAAACATTTATGCAGTCCAACATTCAAGTAATGCATAAACTCTATTATGTGAGATGAGGGTGGAGAGAGAATTAACAAGAAAGTAAAATGAAGTTCAAATCCTGACCAATTATATCCATATTTCCTCTATAAAGACACTTCTCAGACTCCATTGCTACTCTCTACATCAAGGGGGGCAATCTGTGGTATGTATACTGGACATCCAGGTTCTGTAGAATTTAAGGATGGAAACTATTAGGAGGAACCTTATTGGAGGTTAGGTGCTTCTAACCTCCCAGAAGCCTATTCCTATTACCCCCCATTCTCAAGCATAGGACTTCTATAAACAATGAAAAACATGTGCTGGATTGATATTCTCTTTACTTCATAAAATCAGGAAATTACAAGTAGCTGTTAGTCACAACTAACAGATGTTTCCGAATAGCCATTTCAAACGGAGTTTACTATCCTAAACAAGACTGGTTACATGCTAATGTAATAAGGGAAAAGTAACAATGCTTCTCCTCCTATCCGGTCAGAATTGTGATTGAGTTCGCATTCATTTTTGGATTTCCTGTAGTGGTACTCCATGGTTGTTTCTGGCTCTTCATCCAAACATTCTCAAGGAAGGAAGGTGAGAGAGAAAGAGGAAGGAAGGAAAGAAGGAAGGAAGGAAAAGAAAAGAAAACCCCGTAGACAAGCCATAGGATTAGTGAATAGAAAGAGTTGACTCGGACAATTTCATCAAGACTCTAGGTCATCTCTAGCTATGAGAAGTTAACAAGCAATCAGCAGAACTGCTTGTCAGATGGTGGGAGATTTCCTCAAGCTTCTTTCAGAAATCCCCCAAATCCACTAAAATGGACCCTCTTAATAGTCCCACAAAGCAGAGTTCCTGAATGGCAGTTAATCTTATTTGGATCAAGGAAGTAATTAATTATGTCAGTAAAGTCACAGAAGCACCACTCAATTACTTTGAGGTGAACATAAGGTTGACTATATGATCAGCTGCATGTATGAAGCTAGAGGTTACTTGGGACAAGCTTATGATCATCCTTGAAATCAACTTGCAGAGAAGCTTTTCCTAATCCAGCTTCCAAAGCATCAAAATCAAAAGCCACCCAACAGTAAAAGGTGAATAGATTCCAACATCAGCCCAGAGATGAGATCATGGAGAATAGAAAAGAAATCAATTGGTCAGCAGGATTGTCAGTATATAGTGATGAAATCCAATTTTTTTTACTACCGGTTCTGTGGACATGGCTTGGTGGGCATGGTGTGGCTTGGTGGGTGGGCTTGGTGGGCATGGCATGGGAAGGTTACTGCAAAATCTCCATTCCTACCCCACTCCAGTGGAAGACTTGCAAAATCCCCATTCTCTCTCCACTCTTGGGGGAAGGATACTGCAAAATCTCCATTCCCACCCCACTCTGGGGCCAGCCAAAGGTGGTATTTGCCAGTTCTCCGAAATGCTCAAAATTTCCGCTGCCGGTTCTCCAGAAGCTGCTGGATTTCACCCCTGCCAATATATCAATAGGATATTCAGCTTGTTCTATCAACTTAACATGCAGATACTCGGATGTGACCATTTTAGAAAGAGCAGCCTTGGTCAACAAATTAGTCTATAAAATAAATATCACCATCCAGTCTTGAGCGTATAACTGGTGTAGAAATCTGGACAGATCTTCAACAGAACAATGTCAATGTTCTTACCTAGCCAAATCTTGGTGATACATTCCAGGTTCTCCTGCTCATCTACAACTACATTATAAAATAACACAGTCTAATTATAAATGGACCTAGAATTTACCGGCAAATCTTGAGCCAGAAGTCACCAATAATTCAACCACCAGGACTCAGGAGTGGAGAATGTAAAGCAGAAGTAAAGATCCCCTTTCCTTGGAATCAAAGGTCTTTCTGAATCAATGAAGTTTTTTTTTAAAAAAAATCATAAAATGCATGCTTAAAATGTAACTATAAAGAAAAATAAAGATATAAATGCAACAGAAATATAAACAAATATAAATAGGCGAGGTATAGAATATAATTTTTTATTGGCCAAGTGTGATTGGGCACACAAGGAATTTGTCTTGGTGCATATGCTCTCAGTGTCCATAAAAGTATCTAAAATAATGTGCATATGGCGGTGAGTCCAATTCTTTTACATAGATGTTCCTAAGAGATAAAGTTAATATTTTGCTAAAGGTAAAAGCCATTATAATTTTCTTTTATTTTTAGACAACAAACATTTGCAGATGGAAAAACCAAGCAGTTACTAAAAATAAAGGAGCTTTGTTTATTGTTTTATTTCTTCCTAACCTTTCATGAGTCATTGTGATAGATGGGGTCTACTTCATTCTGCTCTGTTCATAATTTCTGTAAATAGCAACAGATTTGCCTTGCTGCACTCTACTACAAGGTCATGTCAGGATTTCTTTCCCCTTGTGGAGAATGGAGAAAGTTTTATGTAGAACATTTGCCAATGGGCTAATAAATCTGTATACAAATAGAGTTTAGTGATTTTTTTTTTTTCTGGGTGGAATACCTGTCAATGGCTTAAACATTCTGCTTTTATCTAAAAGCGGCAATTCCTTATTATTTGATCCCAAGATTTAATAACTGGTTAATGTGTTTCAATAGCAGAAGATTTTTCGCTGAAAGGGCAATTCGTGTGCAAGACTGGTATCTGAGATGTCTGGTTAGCAAATTGAGTAAGATAAACTTCGGTCTGGCAGTTTGAATCTAGGGAGGTTTAAACGAAGTACTTTGAAACATAGAATGGCCTCTTCCCCTCTCTCACTTGGGACAAGTTAGCAAATCTGCTTCCCTTTAGTGCACTGCTGGAAGCCTTCGTTATTCAAACAAGGCTAAATACAGCTTTATTGAAAAGAACCAAGTAACAAGGACACAAATAACACAGTCCTGAAAGAAACCAGAGCACTCCAGCCAGCTAGAAATCAAAGGAGAGCCAGGAATTAGAATTGTAAGATATGAAAACTTTGATTAGCCATTACAGAAGATCAGACCTTATTTTAAGAACCAAGAAGTGGATGAACAACTGACAGATTTATATTAACATACTGGGGGGTATAAGGCAATTTTGTCTATCCAGAAACTTGCTACTACCATGTTTGCCCCAAAATAAGACCCAGTCTTAATTTTTTTTTTTTTGCCACCAAAAAAGGCACCAGGTCTTATTTTCGGGGATGTCTTCCACTAACTCACCTCATGACTGTGGCGACACAGACAGCCCCACCCAGCAGGAGCCTGCTGCTGGTCCACTTCTGCAGCCGCTTGTCGCCACTTGCGTGCATTTCCCCTGGCCTCCGTTTCACTGTCAGAGGCCTTCCGGAAAGGCCTCTGCAGCCGAGAAACAAGTTCTGATGGTGCCTCTGACAGCAAAACAGAAGCCAGGGGATGCAACGTGTGTAAATCTGGAGCTCTTTTATCAGCTGCAGAGGCCTTTCCTGAAGGCCTCTAA